AGTGAGTCTGTTAGATATAACGTAACGTATATCTGACACCGAGGTAACTTTGAAAACAAAAATCCATGCATTTTCCAAAGTCACAGATCTACTTAGTCTAAATCAAAAGAAAGTCTAAATCTCACACAGCATCTGGTGCTAGAAGTGACTGTCACTGTCTGAGCAGTTGTGGTTTTTCACTGAAGGCAGGTAAGGGCTAAATTAGAGCCAGGAGGAAACCAGACATGTGCAAGAACGGAGACCTGGAGCCTAGTGAGCCTCACAGAGGTGTTTCATGGGGATGTTGGAAACAGCCAGCGAAGTGCCAGCCTGTGATTCAGCACAAGAAGTGCCTGGGGACCTGAGATGTGGTGGGTGCGTGAGAGTGTGGCTGCAGCCAGGGTGGCCGCATCAGACTCCCTGTTGGGTCTGGTCTGTGGCCAGCTCTGAACTCCAAAACCATGTCTGGGAATCGTTGTGGGAGACTGTTAGTTGCCAAGTACCTGTGCCAGGTACATTTCTGGCAGCTGAACAGCATCCGTGGCCTGCTTTCATGGCCACGGGGTGTCCCCAGCTCTGTTGCCTTCACTAGGCTGCCTTGCACAGGAGGGTGACGCAGTGCAGCCCATGGTGCTGTGTGCCTGCTGAGGGGCAAGACAGGTGAATTCTGCAAAAAAATGCATGCCTCTTCTGAAAGAAAGAGGCATGCAAGAATTTATTAGTCCAGCCTTTCACTAGTTTTGCATTTTTGAAGTGCTTTCATATTTCTGTGACATGACTGAAGATAACAGCTCTTCAGTTAACACTATGCGCAAAAGTCCCTCATTCTACAAAAATGATCCGAGGGCTGGAGCACCTCTCCTATGAGGACAGTCTGAGGGAGTTGGGCTTGTCCCGCCTGGAGAAGAGAAGGCTGCAAGGAGACCTGATTGCGGCCTTTCAGTACTTAGAGGGGGCCTGTAGGAAAGATGGGGACAATCTTTTTAGCAGGGCTGGTTGTGACAGGACAAGGGGCAATGGTTTTAAACTAAAACAGGGTAGGTTTAGACTAGATATAAGGAAGAAATTCTTTACAATGAGGGTGGTGAAACACTGGAAGGGGTTGCCCAGAGAGGTAGGGGAGGCCCCATCCCTGGAAACATTCAAGGCCAGGCTGGACGGGGCTCTGAGCAACCTGATCCAGTTAGCAGTGTCCCTGCTCACTGCAGGGGGGTTGGGCTGGAGGTTGAGATGGCCTCTAGGGGTCCCTTCCAACCCAAAGCATTCTATGATTCTAAGTGCTGGTTTGCTCTCCCTTTTGCTAAAACACCCCTGTTAAACAACTGGCTTTTGGTTTTGATTGTTAGGTCCACACAGCACAGTTTTCACTGTTTAATAACTGGCTTCATGGTTCGCTTGTAAATAACCAAATTACTGTATTCTGTACCAGAACCAGATGTTCAGATAATAACAGCTGCAGAGAAGCCTGGTTGCAAAACAGTGGAACAGCAAGAGCAAAACTGTTTCTTGAATAACCGTTAAAATATGTTGTTACAAATAATGAATAGTTTTCCTGACAAAATGTACTGCTGTTGAAAATGGAGAGGAGATGATGTGATGGAAAAGTATTAATTTTTTTAAAAGTGCTATTTGTTTTACCTATCAACAAAAATTGTCTGTGTTTAAATGAACTGCACTGCCTTCCTTTCTTGACAGTGCTAGGCTTGTGAACTTACAACTCCAGCAATCACCTACCACTCAGGAAAATTAGCTTTTGAATTTACAACATCTCTTCATTTGGCTGTCTTGGCTGCAATTTTTAGAAGTAATTGATTTTATACTTTGTTTATATGTGTCTCGTATTCTCCATAAGCAAGGGGAGGTTTGAGACAGAATATAAATATGTAATTTTACTTTAAGGATTTCTTTGTGCTGTTCGTGTATTATTACTTCTTTTATCGTTCTGATACATATAGAAGTCAATTTAAGTCATAAGAAGCCCTGAGTGTCACATTCTGCCACTTTGGCATTGTAATAAATAATGCTTTAGTTGAGAAATGGTCCTCTTCATTTCATAGGATCATAGAATCATCGAATGTTTTGGGTTGGAAGGGACCTTTAGAGGTCATCTAGTCCAACTCCCATTTCGAAGGGACCACTCTCTGAAGTAGTTGCTAGAAGGCATGGATAAGAGCAGCAGACTCTGGCTGACGATCTGTGACTTGCATGCAACTCCTTGAATGGGTAGATGCTCACCAACACGACGGAGGAGTGCAAAGCCAGTGCCATAGCTCCTGTCTATACTACAATTTACTGTGCACCTTTATATGCGGTCTCTTACAGCTATATGGTGAAACTGAAAGGCCAGCATACTCCTTAGGTGATTTAAGCTATCTCCATGAGTGGAAGATGTTGGTTTGGAGATTGTAGATCATCAATAAGTTGCTCATGTGTGAAATTAAGAGCCACCTTGAGGTCAGCTTCCAGTGAATTAATACTGAGCTCAGGCAATTTGGAAACACCTGGCTAAGCCCACTAATTATTTGATTGACTGCTATCACTTGAAAAACAAGATAGAGGTATCAGACAATAATGACTTAATCTGAACTTTCAAACACTGCTGCTTTTTCAAATGAAGAGATCAGGGTCTGTAGCAAATGCAGCTGCCACAGGGCAGCACAGCCCACTGATCTGCAGTGATTAGGTCTCTACAAGGAGCCCACAGCCTTCTCAACCTGATGAGTTGCATGCCAAGATCTTTAGACAACCAGATTCATGATACATCCTCTGTCATACTGGGGAGCTGAGGGATAGCAGAGGTTGAAGGGCAATGCAGCCAACAGTCCTTTCTTCTGAGGGTTTCTGCCTCCTTACGGCAGGATGGAGCTGGTTGCAGGGGGAACGCAGCGGGTTCCCAAGATCAGCCGGTGCCGTCAGCCTCAGCCCCTCTGTGTGCCCTCTCCTCCCTGCGCTGAGAATTCAGATTAGACAGCAATCCCTGTGGCAGTGCTGGCTCGCCTCTGATGGCATGATCTAAAAGCCATGACCTAATGAGAGACTAAGAGGAATGTATCAGAAAGCATTTGAAAGCTGTGATTCTTCTGCTTTTAAGTTGTACTTTTTGCTGATTCCCTGAGAGCTCTTATTTCCAAATGTTTGATGCCGCTTTGATCTGTGTATCCAATGCTGTGGGCTTATAAGGCTGTAATTTCTTACTTGCCCGATATGCATTTTTTTGGAGGAAGTCACCAATGCTGTGTCCCCTGTTGACACTATTGATGTTGTACTGTTCTTAGCCTGACGTAAACTAAAAAGTCCATTTTTCAAGTGGGTTTGCGGTGCCTTACAAATTTTACACATGTGAAACCAGTGTTTAGGTAATGCAGATATGAATTTTGTATACACAAAAGGGATGTGTGAACAGTATGGATGTAATTTTGGTAATCTATACCTGAGCTTGCTGAAATACATGTTGTGAAGGAGCAATTAATGACTGGTAAATAACAAAGAGGTTCCAAATTCTTAATTGGAACCCTGGTCCTTGTGTGCTATCAATTAAGGATGCTGTTCTGTCAGTTTTCAAGGGAATTTTTTAATCTATTGCAATTATTAACTATAAGCTAGTACTGTTGTTAAGTAAAATTAAGTTATTGTATAGGATGTTTCTGAGGGTTCCTCTTGTAATTTCATGTCAGAAATGCCAGAGACATGAGAGAAGTACATTAAATGACATTAAAAACATAGCCAGAGAGTGCAGGTTAGGTTTACCTGATATCCTGCAGGTACCCACTCATCCAAACTCAAGGTGCAGAGTCCTCAAAGTCACAAACACCTCTAATCTGAGTGAGGAAGGAGTGACAGCATCTCTCCCTCGTCTGATGGTGTTGGGGCTAATGAGCCCAAGGGGAGCACCTTGCCAGGCGTACACAGGGTTTCTCTTTCAGGACTCACTTCATCTCACCTCGCTGACAGCACTGCCCTCAAAAGAGTACCCTCAAAAGAAGCCAGCACCATCTCAAGAGTGTGTGTTGACAGCACACTGACTGGTCTCTGATGGGGATGCATACCAGTGCTCAGCCTCTCCGAGCCCTATTGCTCTCTCCAGAGAGAACTGGGCAGTAAGCTTTCCATACCTTGGGTTGTGCTAGCCCTGCAATTGCTGCTAGAGCTGCAGTTATCCTCGGAGATAAAGTGAGCACGACTAGCAGGGGGGTCAGCATGCCCAACCTGCACAGCCTTTTCCCCTGAGCCCCCTGTACCACCACCACTTCTGCTAGAGCAGTGGTCTAGTATTACACCATCCGAAGACCCGTGGGTAAAGAATTAATAATTTCTTAATGAATGAAGCAGCTTGGGACGTAAAATGAGATCCGAAGCTATGGCTGGTAGGCTATCAAAGACAGTGTGCTGCCTGCGCTGCAGCGGGGACGGGTACTGAGCTCTGCTGTGTTCTGCCGTGCCCACTCCGAGACTGAGGGGAGCCCCAGTGAGGGCAGGGGGCCAAGGCAGTGCACCCCAGCCCTTCCAGAGGTACCAGCCCTATGAGTCTCTGATTTTGTTGTGGTATAAGGTATCATAAGCTGTTTGGAATGATAAAAGCTTTCTGAGGGTTCATGGGCTAGTTATTAACTTACTGCAGTGTCTTTATCTGTATGTGTGAACTGCTACCACTGTAGTAAAGCTCTAGAGACTGATGTGAGCCAACAGGAACATGCCTTTTTGTTATGCTCCCTATGGACACCACTGCTATTTTATTAAATAAGTTGATTTAGAAGAAATGACCATTGAATTTAATAACTCTTACAGCTGACCTAATTTTCTCTAGAAAGATTTAAGCTTTTCTAGTAGACTTGATGGTATGTCAACCCAGCATCAAGAATTTCTGCCTTTTTTCTACTGCGTGACTGGCATCCTGCCACACTGATCTAAAGTGACTTACAGCAGGGGGAAACATCGTTTAAGAATACTAGAAAAATTAGTGTAATTGTTTTACTTAAAGAATTATACTGAAAAAATGACTCAATCTGTTTTTCTCTTCTCAGTTAGTAGCCTCCATCGTGTTTATCAGCTTTGGCGTGGTAGCAGCGTTCTGTTGTGCAATAGTTGATGGAGTGTTTGCAGCACGACACATAGTAAGTACAGTGATTTCCTGTCATCTTTCATTTTTGATTACTTATGCCATCTCTAGCAGGAAAGCATTTTCTTTTGGTTTATGTCTAGCAGCATATTAGGTTTTTTGGTGGAAGAGGTAGTGGCAGGCTTTAGCTAGAGGCAGTGTGAAGGGGGAACCTACCGAGTGACAAACAACCCAAAATTCACCATCTGCCTGCCATCAAGGGGCGGGTGGGTCATTTAACCAGAGTGGCTAGTATTTCCAGGGTGTCTTCAAAACCCAGTCCTCCTCCTTCCACCAAACCTAGTGCCATCTCTGCTTCAAAAGGACATTTATAGGCATTCACAGTACTGCAGTATCAGTAGTGTTAGTAGTAGTTCATCGCTATCTGTGAGTGCCTAGGAGTCTCTCTCATGACCTTGTGTAAGCACTAGACAAACTTAGAACAAAGGGGGTTTTATTTTGGTTTACGGATTTCAAATTAAAATGTTAGACCAAAAAGATCAATAGAAGAACAAGACAGATTGGGTTGTGGGGTCATTTCAATTTGCCAGTTTACATGTTAGATATGTGTTGTTCACTGTTCTATCTTTTGTGATAGAATGCCTAAAAATCAATCTAAACCCAACCTTTTAATTGAGCTTTGATTTCCAAAAGCATCAGGAAATAATTAGTCGTATATTTTAATAGACACTAGAGCTCAGAGGTAGCGTGCTGCATAATACACCAAGTATGATGGTATATGACCCCCTCACTGCTATGAAATATCAGGGGCCTGTCCATCTTTCTGCTTATGTTCATTGAGGGGCGACATAACATCACTGGCATCAGTAGAACTATGCTTAATTTTCTGTCAGCAAATTCATCAGAATAATTAGGCTTTGGATCACTTGGAGCATAAAGCTGTAAACCGATTTCTTTTTTACTGTTATTGAAGAGGACTTTAAACCAAATGTGGGCTTCAGGACCTCACGTGCATTGCACAGGGAAGGAGACATCTATTGGTATAACCAACCGAGTTGTGCAATTTGAGCATGAATAAACACTCTGGCTTGTAATCAAGTTTTGTGCTAAACGGACCCTGCCAGATGCTGAAGTGGCCTGCTTTTACTCAGATTCACCCTGCTGTTGCTCTGGATGACACTTCTGTAACTTTGTCTCTGATTAGCATGAGCCCAGGGAGCCTCTCCATGGGAAAAGAGGAGAGGAGCAGATTCTTATTTAGGTTTCCTGCTCCTGAAAATTCAGTGGTCATGCCCCAGAAAACCATTGCCACTTACTCAAATATTGGACCTGTCTCCTAATTTCCCAGGAACTGGACTTATTTTTGTCCTGCTTCCATGTGATCATTAGGAAGGGTTCAGACAGCACCTCTACAGTCTTACACCTTATAACTGCAATGCCACCGTGCAGCCACAGCCCCCGCTGCGGAGGTTAGGCACGACCTCGCCTTCTCTGAGGCAAGTTACTCTGTCAGAGGACAGTGTGCATGCCCAATCTCAAATGCAGAGACAGGCATCGCCCCGTCATCTTTCTAGGTGCTTCCTTTGTCAGTTTGCACCCTTTTGGCTTTAAGTTCCTTTTGCACACATTGCTTAGCTATTCTAGAAATGACACTGCTTCCTATCTAAGTCAAACAACAGTATCATATTCTTCTACTATTGTACCTTTATATCTGAAGAAACAGCATCTCGTACATCATACCTAGAGTTTATATTTGCCTCCTTTTTATTATGGCATAAATAGCTGCGTGGCATTGCTTGCTGTCATGGCATGCCCTTGATGTGTCGTTATGGACTAAAAGCTGTTCAGTTCATTGTGGTGCTCTCCGGGGAGACCAGCAAGTTGTCATGGGAGAGCACCAAGGCACAAAGTCATCGCATTCACCTTAGAATCTTGGGTGCAGTTCTGTATCTGGTTAAGTCAGTGACTGGGTATGACTGCATCATCTGTGCAGGCTGGAGACTGGGAGGGGCTGGTCACCAGCCCTCCAGCCCTCAGGTGCTGGAGATGTACAACCCAATGCCATGAACCTGCTTCAGTCATGGCATGACATGCTTCATGGAAATCCATTTCCAGTTGTTTATGTTTGGGCTGAGTTCTGTTTGTCACATCTGTCTCTTCTGGTCTCCTTTGCATATTACAGAACAAAGAAATACATAGTAGTACCATTTGTTGGAAAGCCAATTTGCATGCCAACATGGTCACACTCACTTTATCTCATTCTCTTCTGTCTGATAAGGAGCTTAATAGGATCAGGTGAAATATAAGGTGTACACCACCTAATTTCTCTGACTCTGGGAAATCTGTAGGTGTGGTAGTATAAGTACACTCCCAATATGATTTACAGGAACAGTGGGGCTTTACCAAAAGGAGGTGTCTCATGCAGACTATGGTGTCATTGCCACTGCATTACGTCCCTTTCACATCGCAGCTCATTCCCTTCAGGAAAAGCAGTAACACCACATTCAGTCCATTCCCCACAGGCCAGTACCGGCCATTTTCGGGCCTGTGTTGTGCTGTTGCTACTTTGGCCACTGCCTTTTGGGGATAACTGCTGGAAAATGGGATTAAACTGTCCTCCATTCAGGGCAGGGACAAACTCCTGGCCTGTCAGAGCAGGTGCCCAGGTCTACACTAAAGCCGTAAAGTATTCGTGAGGAGGAGTTGGGCAGCATTCACTTTTCTGTTTCCAGTATCAGGGTGCTCATACCAAGGCTCCAGGTCCCTTTTCTCCTGGAGGGAGAAGTACTAGCTGAAGCCAGACAGGCTTCAGACCAACAACAAATACAACGTCCTCCTTCACATCAATTTGGAATCAGAAATATCTCCTGTTTTTCAGTTTATTTTTAACTTCATTTGAGTTGGGAGGGATGTGAAGAAGACAAATTACATTATTATAGATTTTTCTTAGTGTGTGCCTGCTGTCGAATGGAGGCTATTACTATTGCACATTTTTTCATGCTTTTGTAAGACTGTGGATAGAATAGTAAAATACTTTCTCTGTTTTATTTTCTTCCCAAGAAGGCATAAAATTGACAAAAATTCTTCCAGGAAAGGGATGTATTTCAGAATAGAGATATTTAAATTATTTAAGACTCATTTTAAAACACTTTGCTTAATAGAAAGCTCTGGAGCACAGCACTTATAAAATTAAGAACACTGAAGGAAAAGTAGCTTGACTTAAAATAGCAGTAGCTTATTTAAAAAATAATGCAGATGTAATTTACTGTGTAAAGTTAATTTCACCATTGGTCCCTTCAGCTGCACTTTTCACCTACAAAAAACCAAAGAAGCCAGAATCAAAGCGAAGATTAATGTGCAGTGATGCTACTTCGGAAAAATATGGTGTTCACAAAAATCTGAATTTGTGTTTGCTTGAGATGTTTTGTTATTTAGCAGATGAGAAGGGCCCAGTTGTGCGACAGCTAATGGACATCATTCAACAGCCTGCTCTCACCACACAGGGAGACCCCCTGTCCCACCTCACGTACACATTCTCTGCGGTACCTACCACCCTCCCATCCATGACTGCAAGCCTTGGCCACATGATCCTTAGCTTTGTAGCTATCCCCCAGGCAGAACCTAAAATAGCCAGCAGCAAGAAATCCAGGTATGAAGCGAGGAAATTGCCTGCAAGTGGTTCCTAAGAAGATTAGGAAGATGACAGGTAGCAAAAGCACAGGCAGATCTTTTAAGCTGTGGAGGCAAATGCTTTGTACTGTCTTTTCACATGCTCAGCTGGGAATCATGGGCATTGGTACTGATACATGGCCAGTCACATTTTCCTGAAGTATGGGATAAAAAAGGACTCTGACGTGCCGGAAAGCTCTAGGAGAAACCAAGGGCTCAGGCAGGGGAGGTCCTCTCAGCTTGACTTATAAGAACTGCTTTTTGATCTTGGTGAGTGCAATTCACAGACAACATCTGGACAGACTGATTAGAAGGGATCCACTAAAAAGGAGAAACAGAACTGAAGAGCTTAGGATAACACCAATGAGAACACCAGCAGGTACAACAGTGAAATTGCAACTTGGAACAGTTGCTGTTATCCTTCCACTATGCACCCCTTTAGCTTTGTCTTCTCTGTAACAATTCTTCAGGTAGTTCAATACAGCAATAAATATACCCATAAGCCTTCCTTTCTCCTCATTGAATAAACCCAGTTCTTTCAACCCGTCCTGGTACATCCTGTCCTTCCGTCTTCTGATCATTTAGTGGCCCTCCACTGGTCATACTGTAATTTGTCAAGGTCTTTCTTACATTGCAGAGGGATTAAAATTGGACACCATACTGAGATGTGGCCTCATGAGCATTCAGCAAAAAGGAATAATCACTTCCTCCAGCCTCCTGGTGATGGTTTGCTAATGCAGCCCCGTACGCAGTCGGCTGTCACTTTGGCAAAAGCACCCTGCTAACATAGATTCAACTTGTCCACAAGCACATCCGCTTTTTTCTTTGCCAAGCTGCTACCTAGTCAGCTTGAATTGTTGCCTGGGGTTATTCCAGCTCAGATGCAGGATTTTACATTGACGGTGTAGAAAAACTGACAGAATACAGATAAAGAATTTAGATTCAGGTTCAACTGTTTTTAAAGATGCACTAGATTTCTAAATTTCTATAACCTACAGAAAAGAAAAAAAAAGTTTGGATGCTCTATTAATTGCCATTTCATTACCATTTTGGCTTTCTTTTAAGCATGAACTGGGCTGAATTTTCTGTGTTTATAAAGCCTAAGACTTTGATAATGACCCTTATGTACCTTATCATTAGTTACTGCTACATCCTCATAGCTGAAGTTCTGCTTTAATGCAGTTTATGGTCAGGCATGAACTTGCTTTAAAAGGAGGTGATTTTTAAGAGAGTCTGATTTTATGTGGTGCAGTGAAGGGACAGCATAAGTCTGTGGGTCAGAACTGCTGCACATACGTACTGTCCTGTCCCCTTGTGCTCAGGGCTGGGTTCTTCTGCCACGGAGAGCTGTAAGGTCCAGTGGAAATCTTTGCCAAGAGCTGTGTA